CCGAGATCGGAACCACAGAGGCCCGTTACTGATAGGCGGATAAGGACTTCATTCGGTCCTGGAACTGGGCGCGGTTCATCCCGCACCGCAAACGTGGGCTTCTCATCTGAGCCTTGAGGCGACTACGAATCGTAAGTCTCTGCAGAGTTCGATGGTGTGAAGAAGAAAAGACGTGTGGAATTGTCTGAATGGTGCATGTAGCTTACAGTCAAGATAGCAGCTCGGTGTGTCTCCATAATTGTGCTTCGTCGAATGAGATGAGAACAAGATAAGTATACACAGAGCTGTACTTCAAAAGAATGGCGTGTTAAGTTGAAGTTGAAACCAACCGAACTAGTGCTGCTTGAGGAAGATCTATGATGTAGGTCGAGATTTCCCCGCTACCTCCAGGATGGTGTGAAGTGGGATAGGACTTCAGACGGGTCGGAAACACTTATCCGCATATCGTCGGTTCGAAGGTTCCCCTCATTCGAAATTTGACCTCGGTGCTATTCAGCCATAATGATAACTGACTATTTTAGGTATTTGTGGCCCGGTGGGTTGGGAGTATCGAGCGACGTCATCGTGCTTCGATGCATGTATCTGTGCGGAATCAGAGAAGAATTACATTGACTTCAGCCGAAATTCTGCCACACATCTCCACTGATACAGATTTTTATTTGCATGACTACATTTATGGAAGAGTCAATATCATTACTTGTGCATGCCTTAAATCAATCGTAGCCGCCTTGAATCCTAGGCCCCTTCTGTTCAAGATTCGTACGACAAGCGACGCACTTGATGAACGATTACTATGGGAGCCTCGTGAAGCAGCGTGCTTGGATGCTTATCCCTAGCTGCGACTTTGCCGTAGAGTTCTTATTCGCTCCCCCAAAGCAAGTTCATCCGCTTGTATCCGTTACAACTGCTCCAACGTCTGCCTCCTATCCCTCAAGAGCCGCTCCTCATGTAGTAGATGCTCCAGCTCAGCCATACCAGCAATCAGGGGCTCCGGCGAGGAAGTAATACGATTTTCAATCATAGTCGGTGACATCCTACTGGTTGCAGATGATAGGGGCGACTTTGGGAGTGAAATCGTGGACACGACCTCCGGTGATACCGCGTCCTGTTCAATTGGAGGCGGGACCTTGTGCCTTTCGTTGATATTTGGCTCAGGCGATACGCACGGAGTTGCGTCAAGCTCGGCCATTATCTGATTCTGTTTATTTGAGAGTGTTGCAGGGCTCTTCTTATCGGCTTCCAATGGCGCCATGTATGAATCCAACTCATACCTGCTGGATTTGTCTCCACCGCCGACCTCTGGTGTGACATTATCCTCATTACCATCGCTCTGGCTGGCCTTCTTCCTCTTTCGCCACCAAAAGAGTAGAATTACAGCCAGCATTGCCACGAGGGCAGCTCCAGCTCCAACTCCAGCCTTCACTGCCGTCGATAATCGATTGGGGGAGGAGTCGCTATTGCCACCATCAATCGTAGACGCGGGTTCTGCGGTAGGAGTAGATTCGGGTGTAGAGGCTGTCGATTGCGTCGTTGGTGCTGCGGCTTGTGATGCGGTCAAAACAGAGTCTGTCCTTGATGTGGATGTCTCAATATCCACGGTAGAATATGTGTTACCGACGTCGTAAGTGGCGGATTGAGTAATGGTGATGATGCTGGGTTGTGTTTCTGTCCGGGTCGCTGTGGAAATCACATCCGTCTGGAAAGTATTGAGCCAGCCATTGGCGACGCAGTAGGCCGCAAAGGGGGGCCACACATCTTGAGCTTAGTGTCAACAGAGCTCAAAAGTCAAAGGGAGAGAAAGACGGAAAAGTTTCTCTTATTGTGACATCAAGAGAAGCATCAAATACCTTGAAATGATTTTTCTTGGTACCTGCAAAATCTCTTTATGCAGGCGGCCCATTGGGCACGAAAGAGGTCGCTGGTTCCAAGACGGCAAGCACAATCGGGTTTTCTCAATACGTGGCAGTTCTCCGTAGGGCTCTCACCCAGACAATCCTGAGCACATGCAGGAATATCGTCTATGTCTTGAGCGTATGCGAAGCGAATTACTGCCGCGAGAACAACCGTTGTGGTCCTCATCGCGAAGGAGCAACGAGAGCCTGTTCGGGATGTAACTCGTACGCGCAGAAAATAATGGCGAAGCTGATAGTTAAAATGAAGAGTTGTTGTGGGATAAATGGTCTCTGGGGAACCCAATGGGTCCTACTTTGGGTGGTATGTGCCTCAGTGACAGCCAAGCGTGGCCTGCGGCAGGAAAGCGTTACCAGAAAAGACAAGACAGCCGACGGGCCAAGCATAATGCTCGAATCTGCAAGGTTCTTGATGGATCACGAGAAGTTTCTGCCAGATGTGATCAGGCCTCTGTCTGGCTTGTTGGTTGGGCCTAATTTGAGGCCTCGCCTGTCTAGACTCTAATCTCAACAGTTCCAACGGCTTGTTGTCCGGCTACTCACATATACTGCGAGACAAGGACCCGTTTTTACTGAGAGAGGATCGAATCACTACGTTCGACGTTGCCTGGTGCCAAGTTCAGCTTCTAGCTGCGCCTTATTTGTGCAGAGCCCAGCGTTCTCGCCTGCGTTGGTTGTGGAATTTCGCTGGGCCGAGCAGATGAAGTGAAACCCCAATTTCAGCTGGATCAAAAGCGATTGAAAGTTTCTCACTAGCACACCTGACTTCAGGTCAACAGCTTGCCATCCAGTTCCAGCCGACAAGGGACATAGTACCAGTGAGTAGTTGCTTCGGATCTAGTTTACAATCGCAGCATCATGAACTGGTCGGGGGGTTATCGAAGAGTTTCTGACAGTGAGTCGCTTCTTTGCGGACGAAGGTCCGAGAAACTTGGCCTCTAATAACCGGAAGACAGGTCACCCAATATTGCCTAAGGCAGCCTCTTCTCAGACCGCACTTCACTCCAAGTGAAGTTTCATTTGACCTTCATTCAAGCGAGTTTGCATGTTCCTAATACATCCAGAAATGCAATGAGCCAATGCCAAGCAGCGCATCTGTCATTGCTCAAGTGCACATGCACCAAATAGCTGTTATTTTTTAGACTTTTCTTCTCCGAACCTCAATCAACGTCGCGTTCCTTCTCTCGATCATCAGATTCGTATCAGTAAATCCGGCAGTACAGCGGATGAGGTGCCAGCGAGTTCAGTCAAAGGGCCTTATATACCGATATCCCACATCTCACGATCAATTTCCTAAGATCTTGCCTACGAGACAGAATCGCTTCGAGGGCCGTTACTCGGGTAGTATCGGGCTCTCAGTGATCATATTCTTTCAGTGAATCCAAGGCAACTACGTCCTCGGACTGTTACTCAACATGATGCATAGACCAGCGTTGTACCACGACCCCAAGGCGACTGGCCGCAGGCTTGTGCGAAGCATGGAACGTAAGGGTGAGCCCCTTTTCTCTAGCAAACACCTTGTGTCACTGGGAAAACGCATTGCTTGCTGCACGCGATTAACGGTGTCATGTTCGCAATATGCTGTCACCGATCCTATGAATAATTCTCCAACATTGTTATCAGAGGCGCCCATTTGAATTGCGTTTTGAAACAGCGAAGCCTACCAAGGCTATCTCAAATCCAGCAACACATACTTAGTCAAAGAGCTCAAGATTCGTTGACAGAAGTATTTACAGGACAAGGTTTCACACCAAGAGTCCGTCATAAAGTGATTCTCCATCTGAGGCTCAGCTCTCACTTGGGTGGTGAAGTTGGTGCGTCATTCGTTGCCGCAACAATCGCAGCCTTTTTTTGCCGCCTCTTCTTTCTGCAGCTCCTTACACAGCAAAACACGCATGAGCAGACCAACACGAACAGAATTACAGGACATCCAACAACTAGGAACATGAAAAGACTATCTTTTGTAAGGTCGGGACCTTTCTCAAGTCTCGGCGGTTCGTAGTCATAAACTCCATCCGGGATCGTCTGACCAGTTGTCCACGTCGGCACTATCATCAAGCTAGCCAATGTCGGTAGCTTTGGCGTCAAGATCGCAGTGTCAGATACATCCCAAGTCACGGTCCAGGGTGTATGTATCATGAGCACTTGGTCCGATTTCGCGTCATCGGGGTTGGGAAGGGCTTCTGTCCTGGGGCCCCATGCGGCGCAGGCCCGCCCATTGACCCATGTGTAATTGAACCCACTCCACTTCTGGTCAGCGGTCAAGTCATAGACACAACAAGCAGCGGATGGGGTGATTAAGAAAATAGTGCAAACAAACCTATTGCAGCAGTACGCTGATGTAGGGCCCTCGGTATGTGTACGGGCCATGCTATAATACGTCCAATCCTCGGGGCACACGCCCGGGCTAAAATTGAGCCAGCTTGTCCTCTCGACGCGGCCCCATCCAGAGGGATAGCATGATGACGGGGGAGCAGAGACAGAGACCTTTGACATGACGGTATGGTATACTTCGCCGCTGGAGATCGAAGTGAGAGGTAGGTGCGGCATTTCTGTCATAGTCCATTTGTTCAAACAGTCTGGCGGCTGCACGAAAGGCGTGGTTATGGCGAGTTTTTCAGTGGTTGTGGCAAAAATGGATTTTGTGATGTTGGAAGACATGACTATCTCTCCAGCGCGCCGAAGACGCAATTATTTTGGAAGAGGTTTGCTTGGCACTAACGAAGAAATTTCGGGTCTGTAAATGTGCTTGGGCTTTGTCTCTTATACACTTTCAAGCCGTCCAGAGTTATGCGCCAAGGAGGCAAAGCAAATATGAGCGAGGCCATAATTGGCAAGAAAAGACATGGGCCTGGCCAAAGAGGGCAGGTTAGGGACTAGCGGGGTTTTGCATGTACATATCAATATCGAACTGCACTACGACCCCAATTCGACTCTTCTCAATACCTTACCACACAATTTTATGACAGGCTTACTTCGCGCATTGGACTATGACTTCAGAGAGATGTCCATCAATCAAGCAAAAACTACACCAAGCTGACTGAACTAGTAAACGTGCCCGCAAAGTGTTAAATAGACGGCCGTGTAGCCTCAAAACAAACTAGAGTTGAAGTCTGGGTTGGGCACACTCTCCTCCAGGATTGTGCCGTTGCTGAAAACCGTCCCGTTCTTCAAAACCTCCACGCGACCCGGATGAAGGCCAGGCGGCGGGTCGGCAATAGTCGTCCAATTTGCAAAAATGATGCCGTTGAATTGCGATACTAGGGGGCTCGGAGGCTTCCTCAAATTCTTTGGACTTGGGAGCAAAGGAGACCTCCTCTTGCTGATGTCACAGTTTTCGCTGATTGTGTATAAGTTGAGACCGATTGCCAAAGTATACAACTCAGCACTCAATGCATCCCATCCAGGCTCATTCATGATCACCATGCCAATGTAGTCCACCAAGATGACGTTGGGGAAAATTTTGTCCGAGATCTCATTTACGCCCCTCCAGTAGAGTGCTGGATTGGTAGGCAGAACGGCGATTGACTGGAGGCCGTATGAAAACGTCGAAGTCCAGAAATGCGGTGTACCGAGCCACTGGGCTATGTAGAAGTTGCCCTCAGTCTTATTTGTCCACTTCTTTATTGCCCATTCAGCCATCTCTTTCGTGTCTTCTTTTTCTGGCCACGCATCAGTTAAGTCGATATAATCGATGTTGTAGATGCCGTCGTCAGCTGAAGTATGCTTGCCTTTATCGGAGATCTTAGACAGATGTTGGGTGTTCAAGAAGATAAGCACGCAACCCTTGTTATCATTCTTGTCCATCAAATCGCCTATCTTCGACGTTTGCAAGCCACTGTCAAGTCCCGGGCATCGACTGTTGATCTCTTTGAGTTTGTCAAAGAACTTGTCCTTGATACCTTCATCCCAATAGATGGGTCCAAGGCTCGGCACATTGCGGACACCGACCAGATAGCGAAACTGCAAGAAGATAACCTCGCCGGGATTCTCATCCGTGAATCGATTAATTTCATTGATGACGTCGTCAAATCTCTCTCCCGTTCTTCCAATCACGACTTCCGCAACCTCATCACTCACGTGCATCGTCTAGAAGTCGTAGTTGCCGCAACAGTTGACAACCTGATGAACGCTGGAAACACGCAAGTCGAACCAGCGAGATCCGGCTCGCAGTTGATCATATATGTTCAACATCTGAGTTTGTGTGTTGCCCTCGCTTCCTCCCGACAGGAGAGCATCTGTCAACTTGCTCATGCCCGCATCGTGGGTGCCTGGCATCACCACATTGGCCACCGTCCGGTCACGGATCGTATCCTTGATAGAGTTCATCCAATTTCCCGGTCCGTGTGATAGTGAAGTGATGAACCCAAAGGAATCACTCCCCGTGATGACAAGAGTCACAGGTACCTCCTGGCCCGGCACCCTGTACTCGCGCTGGCCCTTGCCCATCCCGCTCAGGTCATAAACGACGCGCCTGGGATAGGTATCGGGTATATGAGTTGTGGCACGTATGACAAACTTTTTGCCAGTGTTCCCAATGTCATAGTACGCTTCTCCGTTGTCATCAACACTGTTGGCTCCAATTTTCCCAGTGTAGTGCGCGACATTTTGACGCGCCTTGCCTGGAGGAATGTCGCCCCAGTTGAACTCGTCCATCTGGTAGCTGTGTGTTGAAGTGAGCTTGAAAGGGTGCGGCGTGAGATTGACGATGGTGATGTATTGTCTGCCCGTCGCTGCTGCATTCTCAGGCTCCATCAACAACCAGCGCATGTACTCGCCATTCCGATCAATAGGGAGATCGCTGTAAGTTCTATCGATCTCCTTGCAGGTATCGTTAGGGTCGATTGGCGATTCCGTGTCTTCGTCCTCATTTGACTTGCAAACATCAGGACACCAGGTACGAGAGCAGGCAAACTCGCAAAGCTTCTCATCATTGAAACCCCCAACAGGCTTGCCAGTTGCACCGGGTATCTGCGCTGGCGGCTCTATTAGGCCTCCCTCTGATGTACATCGGCAAACGTGCAAAGGGCAGAAGCCAAAGTTGCAGGCGTAGGAACAAAGGCCTTCGAAGCGTTCATACCCTGCTCGAGACGTGCCTGCCCTACAAGCTGGTGGGAGAAACTCAGAGACGGTCGGTACGACAGTCGTCTGAGGAGTCTCAGAACAAAACTCTTCTGGACAGAACCCCAGGTTACAGGCATTCGAGCAGAGTCCGGAGTAATTCTCGCTCTTCCCCTTGGCGGGGAATCCGTCTTTCTCAAGTGCTGGCGGCTTTGTGTTGGGTACTCCCACAGCCTGGCACAAGCAAGACGACACGGGGCAATAGTTATACTTGCAATTGAGCTCGCACAGCTCTTCAAAGCCCTTGGCTCCAGTTCCCTTCGTACAGCCTTGGTCTTGTCTCGAATTTGGCATGGTCGCAGAGACGGAGCCGGCAACGACGGCACTTCCAACCCAAGGGTTCCAATTCGTACGCCCATTGTCGCAGCTCGCAGAGCTGAAGGCAGGTCCGTCTACTCATGCTAGAAGTCTCCCAGGTCTGGAGAGCTGGACGTTCACATCGCCGGTCTCACTAAGGAGGACCACGCTGCCATGATAGACGCCAACACCTCCATCGGGGATCGAAGACCATTTTGGAGTAAAAGTCTTGCCACCAACTGTGACTGTGACCTCAGCGGTCGATGCGAGTACTGCGGAGGAAAATATCTTGTCCAACATGATAAGCTGTGGAGGGAACTCGATTTGAAGTTGGCTTGCTGTGTTGCCGACGGTGTCACCCTCAGAACAGGCGCTGGATGGGCTTGTACGGTACCAGACAATGTGACTCTCTTGAGATACAGTAGCTTTGCCAGTCTTGTAGTAGTCAACCCAGAAACGTAGAGCCTGACGCCAGCCATCGTGAGGTCTGTTGTTGGCATAGTTGTATGGCGCTTTTCCAACCGTGAACGCCTCCATGGCGTGGCTGTAAAGAGGACCAATGTGATGAGATTCGCCATAGTCATTCCAAGAGATAATTTGGACGTATCTGGGATGTATGTTAGTACAATGTTGTTTTTGAAGCACTGCCATACTGCTACTTACTCAGGCCGGTTGTAAATGACCTGAATCCAGCGGTCATGCCATATGTCGTCACCCCGCCACATCCAGTTTTTGTTGTACCCGGGCATATTGGTGTAGAACCACGGTAAAACAGGCATCATATACGGCTTCTTGACCAAGTACTGAAAGTACGATGCATCGACATAAGCGTCCATATCTCGAGGGCCCCAGGGCCAAGCAGCCCAGTTGAAGAGGCCATCCGCGACGTTGTTTCCGAGAGCCAGAGCTGGCTTTGCTCCTTCAGACGACCAGTCAGGGATGAAGAAGCAGTTGACTTGGCTTTTGATGTCGATCCAGTCTTTCGCATTGCCAGGGCCTTCGAAGGTAGAAACCAAAGGTCTTCCATCACTGTGCTTGAAGTACTCGGCTTTCGATGTGTACTTCTTCAGGTAGCTGATGACGGTCTCCTTCGGCCAAGGGCCCCTCCCTGCGTAGTCAAAAGAGAATAGAAGCTTGAAGCCTTCGTCTTTGGCGACATTGAAAGCGCGCTCAAGAGAAATCTTGTTCATATACTCCCCATGGGCCATATTAAGGGCAAAGGCGTCGATATGAGCTTCTTTGGCGAGTCTTATGTCCGTACGCCAGGTGCTGTCTGTGTACTCGGCCGTGTTTTTCACCTGGCAGAGTGTAAGTAGAGGTTCATCGACCAAAGAATAGCATTTCGTTCTGTGTACTGACCATGAAATGTGCGAAAACTGCAGCACTCTGGACACGGACTGCGCCAGCAACGACTATAAGAAGGACGTTGAGTTTCATAGCTTCAAGACACAGTGTAAAATGCCGGAATGTTTAAACGATGAATCCAGAAGAAAGGTTTGCTGAAGAACTGCATCAAGTACGTGACGGCTTCAATAGCATTTATATCTCATTTTTGCTCCATTTCGACTACCAGACTTCCCTCACTCTCTCCTATCTCTGAATGGAAAAATCTCTGAAAAAAGGACCCAGTCGTCTGTAGGAAACGAGCACCATTCAGAATGGGCATCTTCCGCGGGCCCAGACGACCCGGACCAGGCCTCGACTCAACGAGGCTGAGGCACAGCACGATTAATTTCTCGCAACACCAGCAGCTGATCCATCATACAGTACAGCTCTGAGGCACAGTATCGTCCGTGAGAGTGTGATAAGAAAATATCTCAGAGCCCTGTCATCAGAGCATGGTATCCAGAGTCACAAGGGCTTTAGTTCAACTCCGCTAGCCTGCCAAGAAATCCTGGCTTAGATCAAGGTAATGAACAACTCTCAACTTGCAAACTACACTGACTGCACAACTGACAAAGAGGGAAAAAAAAAAAAAAAAAAAAAAAAAGGGACGAAAAAAAACGCATTCGCTTTTGGAGAGTTGTATTGGCCTAAAGTGGTGAGCTTTCTCGGCTCCCACTGGGGAACTCATTGTCAGTTGACATCCCTATGAATGTCTTTCCTAACAGGCAGGGATGATAGGCACCTTCAATGACAGTCCAATCAATGCCAAGCCTGTTTTATGCTATTGCGGGCCGTCGCAAGCAAGGAGAAGGCGTTTTTCCCAATGCGGTATGTCTTGGCCTTGCGTCGCCTGTCGATATGCAGTTGGAACGTTGGACCCTTAATGCGGAGGACTCCGAGAGCTTGGCTCCTGCCGATTTGATTGATTCCCTGAGGTAAATTTCTCGTGAGCGAATAGAGATTCAGATATGCTTAAGATTTCAGGCGGCAATGTAACATCTCAGTTGAGTGTTCTGGGCTAGACTCATCTTCAGGGGATGGTTGCCCTCATCGACACCTTCTTGCCGCATGGGCCCTTGCAGTAGGAAAATCTGGATGAAGAAAAGCTATCGGCCGAAAAGGCAAAGACTATGCATGTGACAGACTTTTGCTTTGGGGGCCGATACCTGCACACAATGATTGCAATGACTCAGTGTTGAAGAGGGGCGAGTAGGTGATCCGGTTGTCTATTGGTTGTAAATTAACATCGTGGAATGTCATACGCGAATTTTCGCTAGGCACGAGACCACACAGCTGCAGGGGCATTTTTGCATCTATCACAACATGTTCAACAGCGGAAGAGGACTGAAGTCTTTTGCCCAATATTTTCTGATCAGCAAATTCAACCAGACCATTGGGCAAAAGGTCCGCGGCCTTGTCCTGAGAAAGTCGGACTGGGGAGTTCCGGATTTAATTCAACTTTGAGAACGATTCCTACAATGTTCAGAGTGATTCCGCACGCTTCATGAATGAATTTTCATAACATGATACATCAATCTTATTTCAAGTCCTTCACTTCTTATGAGTGGACGTTTACGTAGACATAACCCCATTTATTAGTGTCGAATTATGTTTGAGGCTGGATCTATCGCGGGATGTTTCCCCCTGATACACTTCAATTGGGTCTGCGTCAAATGTTGTTGAGACTGACAGTTATGGGCAAAATCCTTTCAGACTGGTCGTCAAGCCATCCCAATCTTATTCTAGGGCAATCGGCAGCCACAATATCTATTTTTACTCGTCGTCGCCCTCGCCCATCACTCTAGCAAGTGAAAGCTGATCCTACTCTTCCATCATTATACGCATCGATGATGCTTTGGATTGTTGTGTAAGTGCCCACAACGGTCATGAATGATCCCAGGACTATCGTAAAGATGTGTAGGGCACAGAAAGACATCTTGACTTTACTAGAGGATCTTTTCTCCCAGTCCATGTAGAGACCCATGAATGCTGGGATGATCAGCTGTCATGTGGCACGAGTCGTTAGTGAACAGCCACATCGAGACTCGCCCTGAAGTCTGGTAGATTGACTTGCACTTACACAAGTAGGCATGCAGCAAATAGAACCAATGAGCCCAACCAGATAGCTAAAGAATGGGACCGCTTCAGCGATGATGAAAGCCAACGCGCTGATACCTATCGTTGAGCCACTGCAGATTATCGATGTCAGTGTGTCCAACGTCTGTCCTGCGAAAGCGATCAGATCTTACAGCCAAGTCACCCAATGAATGACGGTCTTGCTTTGTAGATGTACAGAGTTGCGAAGGATTCGTACGAGAAGCTAGTATACGACTTGTCAGTAGTTACCCTTGCTGATAGGAAAAGATTATTCTCTTACGGATTTGGCTGCAAGATGAACCCAAAGAGTCGTTGTCATAATGAATCCAGGAATCGAAACACCATACGCTATCTTTTCTAGTGTCCCGCCAGCGGAGCCCAGAGATGGACTCGCCACGTACTTTCCGCAATACCTGCACGATTGATTCGTCAGTCAAGTTCTCCATTGATTTGCAACACAATTGAACTGTCCCCCAGCTATTTCACTTACATGTAGACGACCGTACCAAATGCGACATAACATGAGGCTAGAAATACTTGAGACGAGAATAGAGATTTGGTGAAAGATCGTGGGCTTCTCATTTCCGCAATCACGGGCATGAAGGTTGGTGTAGATCCATAACCAGCTTCACGGCTATTAGTCTCTCATCCCAGATGTCAACTCAATGCATCACTGTAGCATAACTTACTAAACAGGTTGACGGCAGCGACAACTCCTGGAACGAATCCAGGGGCTCCGACGGCGTGTACTTCCATGTCGTATGGTCCGGTTTGTGGCGCTGCCGCAGGCCGCTCGACTTGGGTCACACCAACCCTTTTGTGCGAAATGTTGTCAGCAATTCGATAAAGCCCCAAGTTGGTGAATAATTATTGAGAAGAGTTGATAAACTCACACAACAATGAAGACAGCCGTAAAAATGGAAGCAAATCCTATCCAAGCTAGGATCGACAATCTCCCCAAAGTGGGAATGCTAGACACGATTGCGGTGCATGTGGCCGCGACGAGTGTCCACGCAATGTTGCAGACGTGGCGGTTCGAAAGTGTCTTGAACCCTTCCGCCAAACCGATGAAGCCGGATCCGGATGCGAGGCTTTTTTGAGTGTCAGTATCTGAGGGAAACAATCGGTTGCTCATCAGACTTTCTCGTGTCTTACATCCAAGTCAACAGGAAGAGACCACCAGCAATCTCTCGGGCAATAGGTCCGCCCATCAGCGCCGCAGCATCAGCAATGCTGTGTACTCCAGCGTATCTCATCCTAAAGACGTACATGATATACGCATAATCTTCCGGCACGTACAATTAGTAAGTTGATGCAAGGGACGGGAGTTGGGGACAATGTTGAAATGAAGGCGTACAAGTTGCTAGTGTCCCCCAACCCACGAGCAAAGCAATTCCCGGGCCGTACCCAACTGAGCTGAAGGCAGATGGAATTGTCAATACACCAGTGGCAAAGCATAGCTTCATCAAAATGATGCCAGTGCGTTTCCTGAGATGATGCACAGTGTCAGTGATCTGTGCCTTCGAAAGTGAAATTCCAACTTTGATCATAACATGACCTACCAACCTAAAGCCCTGTATTCGTCCTCATGGAAGACCTCACGGTTATCATCGATGTCAATGCACTCCGTTTTGGTGTTTCGTTCGGGGAATATATCGCCGTTCGTCGCCGGCTCCATTTTCTCGGATGAGCCCTCCAAAGATGTACTTGTGTACGGTGGCATCGCAGGTGATTTTCTGTGACTATTGCCACTGGGCTATTATAGAAGGAGGAGTATCACAGCACCAGAAGTCCCGAGTCGAGATAAATAACGTTTCGTGTTATCTCGCTGTTGCCAACCACGTTGTCGACTACATGAAAGGAACTTTCGGAGCCAAAAATTTCAGCGAGGAAGCTCCAGCAACAACATCTTATATCGAAGTTAGGAAACGCCAGATATTAGATAACTACCGAGGGGGGGGCAATCTCGGAGACTAAGGTAACATTTAAGATACAAGACTCTGTTGAGCCTGTAGGGTTGCTCGTTCAAGATCCACTTCCATGCTCATGTCCGGCCAGGCGCTATCTTAATGACATACTGTCACTGCCGGGTGACAATCTCGACCGCCGTCAACGGAGTGCGTTATCACAGGCTCCAGTATACAGACGGGGATGTCGCCGATCCTATCTGCGGGGGAATCACTTGGGTTCCCCATGGAGATAAAGCCCCCAACCCCCATCACACTGTAGATAATGGTTGTGGGTAAGTGGGACTTCGCGAAAAGCCGACGCTAGCGAATTCCCGATCTTCCTGCTACGCTAGTCTTGACATCAAGAGAGACTTGGGCCTGGCTTCATTTGTCAAGGGATCATACTCAGACTGCCTTCGCGTTTGAGTCTAAGGCAAGCGCGGTTGACTATGGGAGATCGTCACGGCCGGGAATCACGATGTTTCTTCGTTATAGGGAATGTCTTCCTTTCTTGAACGAGAAGTATGATTACAGAGTTCAACTCCGAACCTAGATGCATACATCCTTAGTCTTGACTAACGCCCCGGAATACGAAATCCACACCATCAATGCTGATTAGATCTCCATCTACCGACTTTTGCGCTTCCTTGTCTATCAGAGCCACCACCGCGGACGCTTTTGGCGTTTTCCCTTCATTCTCAGAAACAAATGTGCACTCCCAAATTCCATGTTGGGGCTTGTAGTCCTCTCGTCGCGCGGCAAATTCTACATCTGACGCCTTGTGGATGGCGAGATATATGACCCCAACTTTGCCAATGAAAGTTCTTCCGTCTGTGCTCTGAATAATCCAGGAAGGCATCTTGTCCGTGTCACGTTTCGTAATCTCTCTCCAGACTTCTTCGTAGTCGGTCGGAACACCATTCTTGTGAGGACAAGGCGTAGTACCGATTTCGAGGTCATCGCCATTGGGCAGCTTCTTGAAATGGGCATCGTCAGGTACGGTCAAGCTCAAGGAATCGATGATATGTGTCCATCGGAATGTAGCTGTGACTCAGTTAATACGTAAAAAGAAAAAGATTATTTTTAATTATCGAGCCTTCAAGTGGAATATCCGGTAAGATGACCACAGTACATGTACGTACGGGGTTGAGTTTTCAAAGGGATTCTTTCTCCCGCGCGGCTCCATTGGACGGTTTGAGTTTCTTTAGTAATCCGCAAGTCTATGAAGTGCCTTCCTACGTTGATAGCGATTGTATCGGTGTCTTCATAGGCAGGCTCGGGTAACCAGCGAATGCTGATGCGCTGGACAGCTTGGGACGGCATATTGTCGGTCAATGACTTGAGGAAAGTTTAACCCAGGTTTGAGCGCAGAAAGCAGATTCTAGGACGATGTAGATGATAGAATGATGAGAATCGACGGCTTAATGTGGACCGGCGGTGGGGTACTTATACCTGGTCGCAGACTCACGTGTCGTCATTATACACAGCAAGTCTTATCGACAAGTCTATGGATACTCAAGCTATGGGCCTAGGACTTTTCCATAGTAGATAATTTGAACGCTCCGGATCTCTCAACAGGTTTGATTCCATGTCTGTACGATTTGTGTTCCATCTTTGAGCCGACGCGCTTTACGATGTAAGCTTCGAAAATACAAGTGAAGGCGTTTCAACTTGAGGGGATCAGTTCACCAGCCGAAACCGTCGCATGGAGAGTCTTAAACTATACAAAACAGTGAGCATCAAACTTCAATGGCAATCAGTATGGAAGTAACTCCGGATTCATCTAAGGTAGAAGACCGAGATGGATTCATCTCCTAGTCTTGGTGGGGTTGAAAAGCAGCCAGTCACGTGCGAACTTACTAACCCCCTCATCCCCAGACGGTCTTGACATGAACACTCACAGATTCGTTTCTGAACTCGTTTGTATGAATAAGAAGCAGATCCACTGATTAACAGCGACCAAGGTGCTCATGATGCCGATTCAATGTTATTATATGTTAGTTTCGTAGACAATCGTCAAATCCCTTGATCAGTGGCGGCTGGCTGGAGATGGGGTCCGACCTGAGAGGCAAAAGGCACAGGTCTACGCCAGCTTGCGCCAGATGTCATCGACTCAAGCAAAAGGTATGAACTTGGCACCATCTTTTTGTATCATTGCTACTCTAGCTTATTGTCTCATTCAGTGCGATAGAGGCACGCCAAGATGTCTAAGATGCGTTGCCGCCAGAGTCGAGTGCACCGCAATCAACCGGCAAAAGTCTACCGAAGTTCCTCGTAGGCAAGTTGCGGTGCCCCATGAATTTGTCAATAATTAGATGGCAACTAATAAACCCCGTTGATAGTCTTCTTCAGCACCTCGAACATCGCCTAGCCGAGTTGCAACGACTGAATTCCGTCTCAGCAGACGCAGAACACCACGACTCTGTCAATGAAATGTGTATGGCTGACGTCGCTCACGATGTCGCCGCTCAACTAGCCTTCATCTCAACCGCGAACAATCTTTCTCTCGGTCTCTTCCAAGGCTCGACTGTATTACCACATAAGTCGAAACTTTTCTATCCCTCTGAGCGTCCACCACTCAAAATCCCAATTCGTGGAATCTACCACGAAGTCAAACCCCGAACAGCTGGCCAAGCATACGCAACTCAGTTCTCAAGCTTCAACTCACAACACGTTCCTCTCAACGTGATGCAACGGCTGTTCAGAAACTACATCGAAGAGATCCTCCCACGATTTCCCTGTTTCTCGGAGACGGAGCTAACCTACCACTTCAACCACACATGCATGAGCGGCGCTGAGCCCGGGGTTTCCCACGCTCCGGATCCCCTTCCTCGATTCGTTGTCTCGATGACCATGGCAATCAGTGCTCTGAACTCCAAGAATCAAGACTTCCGCAAAGTCGCAGCTCTCAGCGAGGCTCTACATGCGGACACCATGAATCACGTCGACGACTTGCTGTGTGAAAGCTCCGTCCCAGCTTTGCAGTGTCTAATATTACTCATACAACTTGCGATGCTGCTGCCTCAGACGTCTAATCTATGGTATCTTACGGGAGAGGCTATGCGCATGGCTGTAAGTCTCGGGCTGCATCAAGAGCCAGAATCGCGCATCTTTAGAGATGTAGCATACGCGGAGCAGCGTCGACGTATTTTCTGGGTTGTAAGCACATAATCAATAAAAGTCTTGGTCAGGCTTGTTGCTAACATAACCCCATAAAGGTCTATCAGCTCGATAGAATCGTGTCCATCTCTGGAGGATGCCCAGTTGCCTTGAGTGATGAGCACATTACAACCAGGCTTCCGTACGACTTCGGCGACGTGTCTGAATTGGCAGAAAGAGCCGATTTGAATCGAGTTAGTAACCCAAGAGAGCGGCAATTCCTCCTCGACCTTCAAGTCTGCATCATGAAATCCGAGATCCAGGCAACCCAATTCTTCGACCGCCCTGTTCCTAGTCTTTCCGGTTCTCATGGCGACTGGATCCAGCAGATGGATCTCAAAACGCGACATCTCTCTCAAGGAGGCTCGGCGCACGGGAGCCCGCACTCATCGCTGGTTGCTAATTGCCTCCAATGTCAAATCATGCTACATCGACCTTGCTCACGCAACATTGCCGTTTCCGAAACATCTCTGGTATCCGTGGTCAAGGCGGCCATCGAGCTGATATCAGTAGACGCAAAAGCAGCCGAGTCTGGGGGTCTTGTCATGGTATTCGAGATTGGCAACAGAATATTCCAAGCTGGCATGCTCTTGCTCTACGCTCTTCGAAACCACGCTACAAAGTTACAGCGTGCCTCACTTGCAGATATTGCCACCACCTCGTTGAATAATCTCTCAGCACTTCTTGTAAGTCTAGTCTACTAGCAAAAAGACCAAGAAGATGATTTACACCAAAACAGTTACTGACACAAAATCACAGAACAACCTCTCCAGCAGATGGCCACCCCTATCCGACACAGCAAGCTACATCAACGAACTCATCGACACGAACCTCCGCAACCCACTCGGACATAACGGAAGTCACTACGACATGCAAGTCCTCGAAGAACTCGACTGTCTAGTAACCCAGCGACGAATCCACAGTATCCGCCACCGAAACATCCCCTTTCCGCCTCCAAAGAAGTCCACGCCTCCTGCCTCGGAACCAGAAAACGTTAGCAGAGACTTTCTGAATGAGGAGCAGTGGTGGACAGATTTCATAGATCAAGACTTTGTCACCAACGAAAGCTGCTTCTCGCTCCCATCTGGCGGCGGGCAAACCGCCTCTTCGTCTTCCTCGAACCTTACCGGAACAAGGGTTGAGCCTGGGCAAACCCCGAGTGAGAACAATGGAAGCGACTTGGAAAAAGAACTCGATGTCATTCTTGACGCGATCCCCTCTTGCAGCTTCTGTAGGGATAGACGGACAAAGTGTCAGCGTCAACTTCCTGCATGTAAAGAATGCGTGAGGACCTCGCGAGAGTGCTTCATCTTTGATCCGATTCTGAAGGCAAACATCCCACTTCGACGTGTGCAACTTCTCATCGAAGAGCTGAAGGATCTCGCAAAGCAGACACCATCACCTTCACGTTCATCGAACAATACACGACAACCACTAGCTACCGGAAACCCCTTATTCCTGCCTCTCCTACGGGGCGCCTCTCCTCTTTCTGAGGCCTCATCATCCAAATCTCTGCCCAGCACAGTATTTTTTGGCCCCTGGTCCTCACTCGGTTGCCTGCGAGATCGGCTTCAACACAAACCAGGCTACGAAGTGCCGTCCGCCCTGCAGGCTCCTACCAGGAACACAATTCCAACCCCCCCATTTCAGAGCCTCATCTCCTTCCAACCTTTACCAGAAAGCCTAGCGACTCCCATCTTCAACCTCTTCAGCCGCTCGATAAACACTTTCTTCCAAATCTTCCAGCCCCATACCCTTAACATCATCCTAACCGCGTACTACTACCCAAACGCTACTCCCCCACGTCCTTACAACACCCCTCTCTTCAACCTGATAGTCGCCCTCGGCGCCCAAATTAGCAGCAAATCTACACCCTCACTCTCCGTCCTCGCAGAACATCATTTCCACATCGCCATAACCTCCCTCCCAAGAACTTGTACTCACGCCTCCCGCGCCGACAACATCAGTCTACTTCAAAGAACCCTCCTGATCTGCGTATACACCCTCCTCGAACCCAGCGCAGGCGACGTCTGGCGACACCTAGGCTTCGCCATCCGTTTGTTTCTCGACTTGTCCCATCGGCCGTCGATGGAGGAAGACGAGGACCATGGTGTATTTTGTATGCTTACTAGGACTTTGTACACTTTGGAGAGGTATGTTTAATTACTCGAGCACGAATGTTCACAGAATAAGAGGGTTGATAGTCCTATGAAGTCATGTTTCGATTGCCTTTGGCAGACCAAGTCTACTAGTCATCGGAGATGATCTCCGTCGCGTATGTCTCCAACATACACCTCATTCCATCTGTAACTGACACCATGTCATAGGAGCTCGTAGAAAAGAGCGGCAACAGCCTCCAAGATGAGATCTCAATCTCTTCATACCAAGTATCCCTCCTCAAAATGCAGATCCACAGCACAATTCTGTCTCGCGAGCGCAATACTTCAGTCATCCACGAGACTCAGCCCCTTCGAGAGATGTGCGAAAGCTATCGCCAAAGTCTCGACTCCTGGTTCGCGAGATGGAAGGAGATTCTAACTTCAACTTCACCTTCATCTCCAACTCCACCTACAACACCACAGAGTCACGCTCTTCAAGCAATTCTACTCTCATGGGGCTCACTACACTACCACCACGGCATGTCCCTCATCACAACCCTCTGGCCAACACCAGGCGGAGATCCATCAACAATTTGCGGCGGCGTCTCAAAGGCAGGGTTACAACTCGTTCGTCACCAGCAGCTTTTTGCAAATCTCACTTGTGAGGCGACCTCATTAGGTGAAGGAGATGTTGTGGTGTTTCCTTGCGAGTGGACGATGGCCCATTTGGTGCTCCAAGTTGGTTTGCGTGCCATGGGAGAGGAGGATAAGTCAGTCGTCGGCGAGAAGAACCAGGACCCATCACTTACACATTGCTTCTCGTTACTACTACTTCTTGACGCCGATGGTTCTAAACTCTTGAGAGGGCTGTCACACATTCTTGAGCGGCCATCTGAGAGGGCTCAACTATGATAAGAGATTTGAGATCTAGGTAGTAAACTCCTCTTTCAGCCCAAGGCAATAACAGGGCTTTACAAAGACTCTGCCGTAATTTAGGCTCCAAGACGAAGTGAAAGTCAAAATATGCACGCTTTTGATGATTATTCTGATACCCTCTAACAGCAAACCCCATTTTTCTAGATCCTGAAATCCTTGTAAGACCACTTCTCTGTAAGCTTCGCCCTCGCCTGCTTCTTGAACGGGATATGTCTCCTCGACTCCACCTTACCGCGGACGAGTAGACTACGGTACCGGTCCTTGAGCAGGTTACCCTCGGGCCTCAACAACCGCAGCGAATCCTGCAGCTCGTCGGGCAGGATCAGCTCCAGGTCCTTTTCGGGCAACTTCATCTTGCCCAGCTGTCTCCTCCGCAGCCGTCCCTCGTCCACGATATCGTCCTCGTCGTCGTCAGCGTCGCTCCCCTCGCCCACCTCCTTGGCCAGCGCCAACGCGCTCTTGGAGGCGTCGCGGCCCGCAATCTCGGCAGCAATCTCCTTGATCCGCTCCGCCTGCGCCGCCTTCTTCTTCAGCGCGAGCTGGTGCTTGGCCTCGCGCTCCGCCTCCTTGCGGCGCTTGATCCGGTTCCTCTGCTGCGGCGTCTTGCGCTGGGGTCTCTTGGTCGTGGGCTTGTCGTCGCCCTCGACGCCGCTCTCGAACCCTTCCCACGCGGAATCCTCGTCCCACTCGGACAGCTGCGCGCGCGCTTCCGCGGCGTCGGCCTCGGTGGCGGACTTGGCGACGGCCTCGCGCTTGATGCGGTCGGCTTCCTCGGCGGCGAGGCGGGCTTCTTCGGCGGCGACGGCGCGGGCGCCCTCTTCTTCGAGACGGTCGGCGTAGTCGTCAAAGGTCGGGTTGTAGGAGTATCCGCCTGTGGGCTTGACGACGGCGGGGAGCTGGCGACCGCTGGCTGTGAGGGAGATGGGGGCGTGTTTCAGGGTCTTGGGGGGTTTGGCTTTTTGTTCGGCGGGGAGGAAGTTGTCTTTGCTGGTCTTGCTTGCTGCTGCTACGGCCTTGGAGGAAGCAGAGGGCGCGGCACCCCAGAGGTCGTAAGTCGCTTCCTGGGGTACGAGGGTAGTGGATTCTTCCTGGTGGCCATCGGCGACGCGGCGGAGGCGGCTCAGTTCCTTGTGAGAGACCCAGTCGGTGCGCAGGCGCTTGACGGGGAGGAGGCCGTCGGAGGTCTTTGAGAGGGCGGTTTCGGCGTCGCGCTTTTGCTTGCGGGAGGAAACGGCGGGGACGGAGGAGCGGGCGGCGAGGATCTCGTCGGACTTGAGGGTCTTCTTTGGCTTGGGGCGCTTTTCGACCTTGCCGACTGTGTCCAGGGTGAAGAGGTCTGCCGAATCCTTTTCTGCGACGACGCCACTATAGGATGCTTGGTTAGTTATCTACTCTGTGTGCCAATGGGGGGGCTCCTGAGAACGGGAAAAGGTTTCCAAGGGGGAGAGGGTTACGTACCCGGCGATAATCTGTGTATTCAACTCATCGAGACCTTCTTGCACCTCGGAGACGTCGACGTTCTTCCTCCACGCCTTCTTTCCCTTTCTTGAGGGTTGCTTGCGTTGCTGCGGCGCTTCGCCGTCGCCCGAGAGAGGCTTGAGAACGGGCATATTGGACGGCTGGCCGAATCGCACCCCGAGCTTGAAGGGGTTGTATGGATGGTTATATGCAAAGAAGACGGAGAGGATCACCGGGGATGTTTCTGATGTCGAAAAGTCGATCTCTGCGCCTTGCCCATTTGCTGGTCGTCGAATCTGCACTCTGCACCAGTTGGGACGGCGGGGCCTGGACTGTCCAGAAATTTTCGAGCCAGGGTCTTTTTTTTTTATTATCTTATCGGATATGGGGTCATGCTTATCGATTATCAGCACGTGATGGCCCCGTCTTCCATTTGGTGGCCTCCTCTGAGCCCACCTCAATGGATGACGGGGGCGTGGTAATGCGCCTAAAGGCGGACAGGTTGACCTCCTTTTACCAGTGCAGCTTGCTCAATTTCCATAACCCGCGATCTATAACCCTCGCCCCCCTCCTCCTCTCGGCCAGCCCAATCTCGCACTCTCGTCGGATCTCGTCCTTTGATCTAGCAAAGCGCTCGGCTTTTCTGCTTCCGACTCGACGACTCCCTTGCATCGAGCCAACGTGTTGGTTCTGTAGCCCGACTGGCAAACCCCCGATACCACCCTTCGGAAGCTTCCCTTTGACCAAAAAACCGCAACCATGGCGTCCGGCGCAGGCGGGTCTTACAACAACCCCCTCAAGAAGTTCAAGTACGATTTGCGCCGATTGCAAAACATTTCTATTGAGACAATTGCACAGTAAACTAACGCAATGATACCCCCAGGCTTGTCTTTTTGGGCGAGCAGAGCGGTATGTTCCTGCATTTTGTCTTCTTTGATGTGGCGAGAGAGACTGTTGGCTAATTTGTTCTTTGTGTTGTTTGCAGTGGGGAAAACTTCACTCATCACTCGATTCATGTACGATTCGTTCGACAACATGTACCAGGCGACTATTGGAATCGACTTCCTCTCCAAGGCAAGCCATTACTACGTTTTCGAAGGGGGAACGAAGAACCACCGTCTAATACGTTGCAGACCATGTACCTCGAGGACCGGACAGTGAGATTACAACTTTGGGATACCGCCGGACAGGAACGTTTCCGCAGTCTAATTCCCTCGTACATTCGCGATTCTAGCGTCGCAGTAGTCGTCTACGACATTTCAAGTACGTGGAACTGCGTGGGGGAGGCACAGATCAAGGAGCCTGTTGCTGACTTTCATGCAATTTGAAGATGCGAAATCCTTCCAAAACACCAAGAAGTGGATTGACGATGTTCGCGCCGAGAGAGGAAACGACGTCATCATTGTCCTCGTGGGCAACAAGACGGATTTGAACGACAAGCGAGAAGTGACGACGCAGCAGGGCGAGGAGGAGGCCAAGAAGAACAACCTGATGTTCGTCGAGACTAGCGCGAAGCTGGGACACAACGTCAAGACGCTGTTCAAGAGAATAGCGCAGGCTCTTCCGGGCATGGAGGGAACGGATGCTGCTGCGCAGGCTTCAAGCCAGAGTGCGTATTCCTCTCTATCTTTGAGTTTTGGTTTATAAAA